GGGGGCCAGGGGGAGGCAGGGGGGGTCTGGCTGGAGAAGGGGGTTGGGAGAGGCAGGGGATGTCTGGCTGGAGAAGGGGGCCAGGGCTCTGTCTGCCTGATGCTCTAGACCAGTGGTCTCCAAAGTGGGGAGCGCGCACCCCAGGGGGTGCACAAGAGGATCCTTGTGGGTGCACGGCAGGAGGAACGCTTTTTTTTTTTTTTTGCTTCGGCAGTTCGAGTTGGAATCCGAGTTTGTTTGTTTGGTTTTTTTTGCTTCGGCGCGGCAGGGGGTGCGTGCTCAGAAATTTTTTATGGGTAGGGGTACGCGATCAAAAAAGTTTGGAGACCACTGCTCTAGGAACTCGGCCCCTGGCCAGACCCCCGGATCTCACCGCGGGTCGGCCCCAGCTCAGATCCAAGGGGCCGCACTCTGCTGCCCCCTCCCCCAGCGCTGGCTGCCCCCTCTGCTCGCAGGGCTCCTCCCTGCCCTCCGGGGGTGCGCTACCTGTGCACGTAGCCCAGGCGGTGGATGGAGTCGATGGCCATCACCATCTCGGCCAGGTAGAAGCGGGCCATGTCCAGGGGGATGCGGTCCCCGAATTTGCTCAGCAGCGTCAGGAGGTCGCCCCCCACGTAGTACTCCATCACCAGGTACTGCGGGAGCGGAGACGAGGCGTGACAGCGCCCCCGACAGGCCACCTTCGAGGGCAGCCCCCCACCGGGGCCAGAGCAGCAGGGGAGAGACTGGGCTGGCAGCGTGGGGGGCTCCTGCCCTTGGGATGACCAGCACCCGCTGTGTTAGCTACACTAGACCCCCCTCCCCTCCTAGAGCTGGGGAGAGAACCCAGGAGTCCGGGCTCCCAGCACTCCTGTTCTAGACCCCACAGCCCTCCCTGAACTGGGGATAGAACCCAGGAGTCCTGGCTCCCACCCCCCCTGCCCCAGCCCCAGCTGTAATCTCACAGCTGGTGGCGGGAGGTCTGGAAGATGTCTCATTCATAACATCCCATGTCGGGGCATTCTGTCCCCTATAGACATGTCAGGCTATAGGGTCTATAGGTCCCAGAGTGGCTGGCCTCCAGTGTGTGTCCCCTCTCGAAATCTCAGGTATAGGGTCCATAGAGATCACAGGCCAGGTCTCTATACGGTCTGGAGTGGCTGTTCCCCAGCGCGGCCCCTATGGAGACCCCAGGCTCTCAGGTCTATAGGGTTTGGAGTGACCCGTCCCTAGGCAGATGGTCTGTGAAGGGGGCAGGGCGGGAAGTGCTGGCGATGTGCCCTGCCCCTCCCAGGGTGCTCCCTGCCCCCCCAGGGTGCCCCCTGCCCCCCGCCTGCGGTGCCCGGCGCCGGCTGCTCACCAAGTAGTTCTCGTCCTGGAAGGCGAAGTGCAGCTGGGTGATCCAACGCTTGTCTCCGTTCACCAGCACGTCCCGCTCCTCACGGAAACAGGACACCTGCCCCCCCGGGAGAGACGCTGAGCCCAGCTGGGTGTGGGAGGGGGCCACCGGGGCCCGGGGGATAGGGGGTGAGAGGGGCCAGCCAGGCTGGGGGAGGGTCTGGGCCCCACGACAGGGCCCCCAGTTCCTTGGGACCCCACAGCGCAGCTAGGGGCAGTTGGGCGGGGATAACAGAGCTGGGGAGAGCCCTGCCACGGGCAGGGGGTGGGTGGGTTGCAGAGATGGGGCAATGCCATGGGGAGGGGTGTGCAGAGAGAGGCTGAGGCCAGCATCACAGGGGGTGTTTGTGTTGCTAGTTGGGGCGATGCCCTGGAGGACGGGGGCTGGCTAGAAGGGGCCATGCCATGGGGGGAGGGAGGTGGGAGAGGGGGCAGTGCCAAGGGGGTGGGGAGATCGGGCACTTCTACAGCGGGTGGGGACATAGGGCTCTGACAGGGCAGGATCCCAGCAGCGATCGTACCAGGGCCAAATACTGCTCCTGTTGGAATTGCCCTGGTCATGGTGCTGGGTTACAGGGGCAATGCCGGAGGGGGCAGAGCAGGCAGATGGGGCAGTTCAGAGGCTCTTATCCTGCAGGCCCAGACACAGGGCAGGCCCCGGGGGTGGAGTGCAGAGGGGCCTCTGGACAGAGTGGGGGTGGGAGTTATTGCTGGGGGGGGCAGACAGATGAAGACACTGTCCAGAAGGAATTAGCAATAGGGCATGCCATGGGTGGGGGATGACAGCTGGGTCGTGCTGTAGTGGGGGGCAGAGATGGGGCACGCCATGGGTGGTGTGTGGCAGCTGAGCTGTGGCAGGGGTGGGCATGGACAAGGCATGCCATGGATGGGGGGTGACAACTGGGCCGTGCCATGGTGGGGGCAGGGATGGGGCATTGCCATGGGCGGGTGTGGGTGTCTGAGCCATGCCATGGGGGGCAGGTAGGGGTTGTGGTAATGTTCCAACCCAGGGTGGCCACGGATGGGCACCAGGGAGAGGCACTGGAAAGGGGGCATCTGGACCTTCAGGGAAGCCCAAGGCCCGTTTGGGAGGAGCCCCCAGCACCCAGTGCCCCCCAGCGTCTCGCGCCTCCGACTCACCTCGCCCCGCTTCAGCATGTCCCACTTGTTCATGATCTTCATGGCGTACACCTGCGACGTCCTCTTCATCTTCACCACCGCCACCTGTCGGGGGGGGGAGGGGACACGGTCCGTGGCTGGCACAGAGACACCCCAGCGGGAGGGGGCAGGCTGGCTGTCTCAGTGCAGCTCCCAGCAGGAACAGAGCCCCACCCCCATCCCAGCGCCAGCATCCACAGCCTGGGATGGGCCGGTCACAGAGCCGGAATAACGCCCCTCTAGGAATCCAGGGTAGGGTTGGGGTGCAGTGCCACCTCCCTGGGGGGCAGGGAGCGAGCAGGGCAGAACCTGCCAGCTCTGGGGGGAAGGTTATGAAGTGGGTCACTGGTGGGAAATGGGGCTCCCCCTTACCAATCGGCCAGAGGGGCACTGGCCACCCCACGCTGCCCAAGCTGTAGGGCAGAGACGACACCGCTGGGTTCTGCAGCACATGGTCCTTCTCCAACCCAGCACACCTGGGGATTGAACCCGCATCCTTAGCGGGAAGGACAGGCCCCGATGCCGTGGCTAGACCTTCCTCCCTAGAGTGGGCAGGCCAATGGGCCAGCTAGGCCAGTATCTTGACCCTGAAAGTGGCCACTGCCAGAGGCCAGGGAATGACCAGAACAGGGCAATTACCGAGTGATCCATCCCCTGTCATCCAGTCCCAGCACCCGGCAGTCAGAGGCTTAGGGACACCTGGAGCATGGGGCTGCGTCCCTGCCCATTTTGGCTAATTGATGAGCCTATCCTCCAGGAATGTCTTGCATTCCTTTCTGAACCCACTTGTACTTTTGACTTTCACAATATCCCCCAGCAGTGAGTTCCACAGGTTGAGTGAATTACTCCTTCCTTTTGTGTATTACTGACAGTTAGAGCTGGACAAACTTTTCCACCCCAAACCGTTTTTTCTGTGAAAAAATGCAGATTGGACAACTCCAGGACACACTGTGCATTTGTGTCGCTGAAGAGTTTGAGGTGGCGGGGCGGGGGCGGGAGTGGGAGGGGACACTAAAAACAAAAATACCAGGAAAAAAAGGGAAATCAAAAGGTTTCGTTCTATCATTTCCAAGACCAAGCGTTTCCCGCGGAAGCGACTTTACGTGCCCCATCGTCCTTTTCTTTCGTTTCGGTTTTGAAACTTCAAAAAAGCTCAGAACCATTTTTGTTTTTTAACTTTGCAAGTCACCCAAAATTGCATTTTCGGCTTGATACAAAACCATTTTTTCTGGCTCCTTTGGGCTGGTCAGCGACTGGATAAGGGCAGCTCTCCTGCGGCTCCCTGGGGCAGCCCTCCGCACCTCGCCGGGGGCTGGCAGCGGGGGGGCCCGGGGCAGGGGCTGTGTTGACGCAGCCGGACACATGGCAGCTGCGACCTCCCCCCATGCACAAGGTCAGCGCCGGGATCCCCGGGGGAAAGTGCTGGCCCGGCTGCCCGGCCCGCGGCCCCTTCTCACCTCGCTGAACGCGCCGCGCCCGATCACCTTCAGGATCTCAAAGTCGTCTCGCTGCAGCTGCAGCTGCTTGAGTCTGGCGGTCACCGGCTCGGCTGGGGGGGCACAGGAGGGACACGGGTCAATAAAGCTATTGCGGGGGGCGGGGAGTCACGCCGCAGTTGGCCCCTTCTGCCTTCCTCACCACCCGGAAGCCATCGGCCCCGTGCGCCCCCCTCACCTGCCCCCCACAGCCCTCGGTTCTCCACTCCTCCATCCCCCTCACAGACAGCCCTGTGCACCCCCCTCACCCGCCCCCCACAGCCCTCAGTTCTGCACACCCCCATCCCCCTCACAGACAGCCCTGTGAACCCCCCTTACCCGCCCCCCACAGCCCTCAGTTCTGCACACCCCCATCCCCCTCACAGACAGCCCTGTGAACCCCCCTTACCCGCCCCCCAC